AATTTGCTGCTTGGGGGAACCAAGCCTGACCCAGGGAGTGCGGTCAGGATCGGCAGGATCGTCGGCCGATTTTGAACTCCCTCCTCTAGGGAGACTCAATACGACCATTCATATCACACATTCACACGTGTGATAAGCCTCGAATACGACCCAGCTACCCTCACCACCACGGCTGTTTCTATGATATTCGCCTGTGATACCACTTGGTCCCCAAACCGTGTGCGTAGCAAATGACGCCACTCTTCCACTTTCTCCAGGTCGCCGTCAAAGTACATATTAGTTATATTAGTTGAAACGTCAGCATATTTGTAATGCTGCGAGACCAGAGAGTATGCTTCTTTTCTTTTCGATTAATCAAGAGTTTTAACTGGCTTTGTGCTCAGTAAAAATTAGATGTGCTTTCTACACTATGGAAACCAGACTCTGAATCATCTTACACAAACTGTTGCTATGTCGGGCTTCGTGGAATAAGTGACCCCGAATCTGACATCAAAGGAGGCCAGCATCAGGGAAATCCTTTTCGGTCTAGAATCTGGGCAGGAGGCGGGGTTCATATTTTGCTCATAGAGGAGGGCCGTAAACCCAGGGCGGAAATTACAGCGATGTCGTTTTTGGTCGGAGGAAAGGTGAGGATAAGGCTGAAAGAAGACATGAATTTTTGTGAACATTTCATAGAATCACTCACTTGAAGTTCTATTCACCTGTGATCGACAAATTTCAATCCTTGCAAACTTGGATACTTTGTGAACGCTGAGCTGATAGACGGGTTAGCATTCCAGGAAGCTGATGACGATCCATCACTAAAGTTTTGTTTTTGGTGAATTGACATTCCACTAAACCAAATGAATACACACCGCATTCAGTAACGGGAATAAGGAAAAACCACGAGAAATGGCCAAGAGACCCCTTGCCTAGCAGTGAATTCCGCATCGATGCAACTCCTTGTGCTATCCTCTTCAACGTCAGCGCTCTCTTTGTTTTGCGGCGAGACCAGACGGCGAGAGGATGGGTGTGCTCTCGCGCAGCGGTGCGGCGACACCCACGCTCAGACGCCGGGGCATACCGTTCACTGCGAAACGCCGTGGTTCCCTACACTCATCCGGGTCTGCCTTGTCGCGCCGGCACGGACGCCTTGCTCCCCGCATTTCGCATAAGCATCGGGGTTCACCCGGCGAAGGAGCGGCGTCGGTGTCGGCGTGAGGGTTGCCGGGGACTTACGCCGCGCTCGCTGCCCGCCACTATGCCACGCGGACACCTAATAGGCCTGAGCAGCCCCGACTGGAAGTACGCCATGATCCCTACGCATCGCATAACCTAGGACTGCGCCGTGATGTTACTAGACCTCTATATTACGCTTTACGATGAACTACTGGCCCGGTCTACGGGCATCGCATCAACTATGAATGTATCAATTATGTTGATAAAGAAATAGTGTGCGGACGAACCGCTTACGATATACACACAACAAAGAAATAAGCCATAGATTCCATGTAATTGTAAAACTACGACGGAAAGGAATAACTACAATGTTGTACGGCTACTACGACTAAACTCACGGGTCGAACCCAGTAGTAATCCTTACGCGGGGGTGACGTGGCTCGGTTCCGATGTCCATCGACGGGCATCCATGCCCGGATCCACTTGCTGACGTACGAACAACTGGAGCACGAAGTGGCGACAACGGAACAGACAGCAACGACCAGCGGCTGCACTCGACGGCGGCACTACGTAGACTGAAGGCAGGCAGAGGCGCCGGCACTCTGCTTCTCTGACGTTCTTTCGAGAGCGCGGGCGCGCCAGGACCCGCGCACACCCGATGATTTTCCACTTCTTCGACCTCCGATCCTTATAGTGCAATCCCCTTCGAAGGAATCATCCACGAAGAAATCGTCACTTCTTTCCTCATACCCTTCCGATTTTTCGAAGAAAAAAATTTAAAAACCACACGTTGTGTTATGGCATATTGACCGAAGCAAAAGGCTAATTACACTTGTTTATACGACCAGGAACAATTGTCTTTGCTCTGGTCACACAGCTAGCCACATAACCATTTCCACAATTGTGATTCTAAATCAGTTTCCACTGCATGATCCCTATAGCCGCGACGCAGATAATTTGATTTTTTGCAAGAAGTTTTATCGGTTAATCTACCTGGGCTGGGGTGAAGCACGTCACGCATCAGCAAGGTCATCTGTCAAGAAGGGTCTCTAGACTTGAATGAACAGAATGAACATTAACTTGCATATGGTGAAGTGTTCGAAATGCTTCCACGGGGTTTAAGTGTTTTTAGATGTTCAAATTAGATTGACTCCAAACCGGCCTTGTCTTTGACTTTGTCGTTATACCCTTTTTTTTGAAATTGCGACTGTTGTTGTAAAAATACACCCTTTTTGGTACCGTAATTTATGGCACACCACTGC